TCAATGTATAATTTTAAAAACCTCACAAAAAGAAATAGAAAACCCTCAAATACCTTCCCTGGAACAAAAGCCCACTTAAAATAAAGCCTATTTTCGGGATTGTTAGAAAGCTGTTACATGAGAAAGGGAGCAATACAGAGCAATATAAAGAGATTTCCCTTTTATAAAATGGGCTTTTGTTTCAGGGGTGGTAATTGGGGGTTTTCAATTTTTTTATATTCTTTGTTGATAGGGCCTTTATTGTATGTTAAATTGCTTTTTTTATCATGTGCAGACTTCATGGACTGTGACGTGAGAAAGGGAGCAAGAAAGAGCTTACAATAACCTATATTCATGGGTACACTTTAATCATTCTGTTTTCATTCTCATTGTTACATTCTTATTGCAGTGGTATGCAGTGATAAGAAATAGTGATGGTACAATCAGGGGCGTATCCACTGCAAGGCAAAGAAGGTGTCTGCCTTGGGCAGCACTTTCCAGGGGGGCAGCAAAATGCCACCCCAAAATCGGTGCTGTGACCCAGGTCACATGCCATCAGGCAGCCTCGGCTGCCTAATCAGGCAAATTAGGCAGGAGCTCGTTGGGTATCGCAGCCGCCTAATTTACCTGAGAGCTGCTGGGTGAAGGAGGAGGCGGGACCAGAGGAGGGGCCGAGGCCGGATCGGAGGCTGGGGTGGGTCAGGCCTAGGCCGAATTAAATGCACCACAGGGTACAGTGATTGGACCTCACACCTTATTGGGTTTACTACCACAGCAGGAAGTTAATTTGAACTATGTGCAATAAAACACCACTGCTGTAGCACTGTGAACATAATTTTGTTTTTAGGAATATCCGTATGACTTTACTGATTTCTGGATAAGTTTTGGTCCTAATCACTAGCATTTTTAGAACTGCATTCTGCTATTTGTACATATGGTGGCACTGTGGTATCACCTACTTTGACCAATTTCAGCTGCATAACTGTAAATATTTTATTGTGCATTATATCTGTAGGATATGTTTTTCTTCCTCTTTTCTTTTTTTTGTTCTTTATTCCACATTAGAATTTAATGGGCCCATTCAGACCTTACTGCTGCATTGCGGTGTCATACTGCATGCTAGCTAAATTTTGGTATTTTCCACATTATGTGCCTTACAGCAAGGCAGATCATTTATTTTGAGTGGGTTTCCTACCCACAACAACACAGGTTATAATGCCCCTGCAGCATTTTTTTCACTGCAGTGCACTAGAAAGCACAGACAGTTCAAACCTATGGGTTATGGTGCGCTAAAAACTAATGTGTCTTGTGGTGTGCTGACTAGGTGCATTAGGGTGCCACCACATTATGTATCGTTCGTTATCATGCGTTGCAATACTATGCGGTGCTATAATCTGTGAAACTCACAGATTTGAATCCAGCCTTGCTTATGCTCAGCTCACCTTATAATATTGTGGATTACATGTTGAGGTCAAAAGCCAAAAAGTATTTGCCTAATAACATCCTTTTAGTACTTGCTTTTCCATTCCTAATTTGCCCATTTGCTGCCGGGCGCTTACATAGGTGGCCAGATCTTTTTATTATATTTTATATTCACGTTACAGACACAAATTACAGACAGAAACTTTTTGAACCCCTCCCCCCTCAATCATATATTTTCTGAAAGTACAGGACCTATGGAATTGAAACATTATTTGTGCCATGTTTTCACAAATGTTTATCAAAGCAATATTTTTTATTTAAAATGTACCCTATAATCGATATTTATGCACACCAATAAAACATCATTACAAAAAAACTCTACTGAACATAAAACTGCATTGAGGTAATTTATAACACATATGTTTACAGTTAATATTGTTTTTATGAATTGAGAAAGCTGGTTGAATGACCAATGAAACATCTTCAAGAAAAATACAGCAAGTCCAGTTGCCTTGACTTATTTTTTACAGATATACCATGACCTGGATGGATGAGAACCTTCACAGACAGCGTCCTTAAGGACCAGAGACGCTAACAGTGCGTGGAGCCTGATGGGAAATTTACAGAACTGATTTTCCCATCAGGTCCACTCTGCTGCTGATTGACAGCTGGCAGTGGGTGGGTGCCATAGCCAATAGTAGGCTGGTTAGGGAACCTGCCCACTGTGTGCTGTCAATCTGCAGCAGAGCAGACCTGATGGAGAAATTAGTTCTCTAAATTACCCTTTTTATTGTCTTATTGTAATTTGGAAAATTAATAAAATACTCAAGAGTTAAATTACCCTTTAGGCTCCACCCACTTAATGTCACCGACAGTGGCTGTCACTGGTTGTTAAGCAAGCTGATGGCTAAAGGCAACAGCCTCCTTAATAACCTGTGACGCGGACAGCGGATGGAGCCTGATGGGGAATTCTGAAAACTGATTTTCTCATTAGGTCCACTCTGCTGCTGATTGACAACAGGTAATGGGAGGGAGCCCTAGCCAGCCTGCTATTATCAGGGATCCCAACCTGCCAAAACTCATTTTAGGGAGGTTCCCTCTTAATTTCCGGGGGATGGGGGAGAAGGCCTCTACCTTAAATTATGGCAGATAGCAGGGAAGCTAATGCTTCCCCTGTTATCTGCTGGGGTTTTTTATATTCTGACAGCGGCCGGCATCAGAATACAAAAATAAAAAAAAAAGCAGGTAGCAGCGGATCCGGGAAAGGTTTACTCTGATAGATAGAGTAGAGTAAACCTTTCTGGGATAAAATGTTTCTCTCACAGGCATCAGGGTGTTGGCACAGCCTCACAGAGAAACACAAGCACACAGTCTGATATGTATGCTGCACATGGCTTGAAAACAGGAAGGAAGCCACAGCTTTATTCTCTACCTTTTTCAATACAACAGAGTATAAACCATAGATATAACAGAATTTATAAACACTGCCATCTACTGACCGAAAATGTATACTGCAGGAGTTGTTGCAATGAATACAATTATGTGTACAGGGAGACTCCGAGTCCAGGAACATCCAGGAGAGTTGTGATGTCTGTATTATGCTAGAATATAACTACAAGTATTGCTGGGAAAAACTGAACGCATTTGTGGATTATAACATGCATTGTTCATGCATATAGCATAGCATGTGTTACTCATACACATTTACATTCGTAGACACTATAT